AGTAACACATAGTGTTTGATAGGAGTCCAAACCTACATTCATGAGCAACGAAGTGAAAGAACAGTTCTTGGGCCCTGGCTGGTGTGGCTCAGTGGATTGAGCACTGGCTTGTGAACCAAAGGGTTGTCAGTTCAATTCCCAGTCAGGGCACAAGCCTGGGTTGCGGCCAGGTCCCCGGTGCGGGGTGAGAGGCAACCACACGCTGATGCTTCTCTCCCTCTCTTTCTCTCTCCCTTCACCTCTCTCTAAAAATAATTAAATAAAATCTTTAAAGAAAAAGAACAATTCTTGAGCACCCTCATTAGCCACAGGGGGTCAAGAATGCTCACATACCATGTTTCTGGCCCAGGACCTGCCTTGTACTGATGGGAAAACTGAGGCTTGGGAAAGCCAAGCACACAGGGCACACAGCGGTGAAAGGGCTCCAGTCCACCTGGAAGATGCTGGCGAGCCCAGGGGTCAGACTCCCGCTGTGGGACGGGCGTGACCGAGGTGTGGGTTTGTGAGCTCTTCTGAAATGCCTGTGCGGGTCAGGCTGTCACGACTGGCCTGCCTCCCCACATTCCCCGCCCCCATGTCCCTGAAATAGAAGGGAGTTTGGTTAAGGGTATGAGTCACATCTATGAATGAGACTCTATTAGGAACGATGGCGTCAGAGAGGTACAACTTTGTATCCATGGTAATAAGATGGATTTATGTTTATTAAGAAGGAAAAAGAGAAGCTTTATCCTGGAGCGAGACGGCTGGGCCCTGGCCAGGGTGCTCGGTTGGCTGGGGCGTTGTCCCACGCACCAACAGTTTGTGGGCTCCATCTCCAGTGGGGCTGCCCAAGAGAAGGCAACCGGTCGATGTTCCTCTCTCACAGGTCTCTCTCTCTCAAATCAGTGAAACATCCTCGGCTGAGGACTTAAAAACAAGTCATTTAAAATGACTGCTTGTTCCAGAATAAGGAGAGAACAATGCAGGACAAAACCTGAATAGATAAATTTGTAGGTTGTGAGCAGGGAGTTTGATTTGCCTTGGATGACAGTGGGTGCAAGTGATGAGTCTGAAGAGAAGCAATTAAGTGTTCAGGAATTGTGTCAAAGCTGGCTCAGCTTTTATTTTATTCACCTTATTTTTTTAAAAGAGGCTGTGGTTCCTTTAGTATCAAATATAATGTCAATACAAAAGTAGAATTTGGTTTTCTGTCTGTTAAAATCACAAAATTTTCTTGAATATTGCTTATTGGTCTGCTCTTAATGAGAGATTATAAACTGTTATTTTTTTACCTTCCTAGATTTCTCCAGGAATCTGCCTAGACAGCACACATTCTGTGTCTTACCAGAATAACACGCCCTACTTTTTAAAACAAAGAACTCCCTTTTAGGTTAGAGCTGTTTCTTTATGGTATTATCCTCTATGTTCATTTTTAAATGAAATATTATCACTTTCAGATGTGTGGGACAAGTACCGTTCCTTAGCACTCGTGATAAGCACCCGACTCCCTTAACCACTCCTGATTTTGCCTTCCCCAAATCAAACCCTAGACACAGAATCAACTACGACCATCAGGACATTGTTTGTATCTAGGATTCTCTGAGGTGCCCAAGAGAGCTCTTGGAAAATCACAAAGATTTATTCTTTCGCCTTTTAAAAAGAGAGGCTAGAAATAATCAGGTTTATTTAATATGTCATTGTTGACCAATTACATGGAAATAATTATGAAATAAGAAGAGCTACTCAACCTCCTCTAGGTCAGACATTTTTTATCCTCACCTGAGGACATTTTTTCATTGCTTTATAGAGAAAGGGAGGGAGAGAGAGAGAGAAACACTGATGGGAGAGAAAAACATGGATTGGTTGCCTTCTCATACGCTTGCCAACTGGGCATCAAACCCACAACCTGGGTATGCGCTCTGACTGGGAATTGAACCTGTGACCTTTTGGTCTACTGGACGACACTCCAACCAACTGAGCCAACCTGGCCAGGGTTCTAGGTTAAATTTTAAAAGGTAAATGTTATTATTTAGGTACAGTTCAGAAACTGTAGGTTGTGCGAGAAGTTTCTGTGGATTTCTCAGTGCCCTCTCTGGTCCACGATCTGTTTCTAGGTGCTGGTGTCTGGTGATGCACTCCCTAATAATAAGAGTATAGGGTGACTGGTCAGGATCGCGGTTATGATTGGAAATGTTACCCGGGTGGCAACCTTACTTCTTGGAGTCTAACACCTTCTAGGTCAGCGGTTTTTCACCAGGGACGTGCACCCTAACACAGGTGTTTAGGACTTACTCCAGACTTCCCGAATCTCTTCAGTTGATATTCTTGGTATATCCTTGGTATGTTATGTAAATTATGTATCCGGATTTTTATCTATCTCAAAAGTTTTCCTCTATAAAAAGGATGTTCATCCACTTTCAATAAGTCAGATGTTATGTTCACTGTCTTCTTTGAAATTAGCCTCATTACGTTTTTAGCCACTGTCTAGATTTTGGGGGGTAAGGGGGTGGCTTTGTCTTGTTTTGCATACTTCAGGAAAAGCTACATTTGCTTCTCGGCTGCATTGTTCTTGTCATGAATTCTCATTGGGTCATTCGCTTTTGAAAATGATCAGTAATAAGTTCATCTGCACTTTTCTAGGTCTCTGTCACCTCCAATAGGGTGTGGTTTCACTCCGATGCTTCCTGAAATCCCTGCAATCAGCTGTAGGTCAAAGGTCTTATCTTTAACGACCAAGAACTGTCTCAGAAAACACAGTACCAAGAACTTCCTCTTGAGCACAGGCTTCTGGTGGCATCACTCAAACATCTTCAAGAACACACCAGTGGACTGAGTCGGGACTGTCGAAACTCTTTAGTCAAGAAGCAGACAGGTTGTAAGACTGCTAACCCGATTCGGTGGAACAAGAATTAACTACACAGAACAGAGTGACTGCTGAGGGGTCGTTATTGTGTGCATTTGGAATACTGTAGGTGCTGTTCTCTCGTTCTCTTCTCTGGGTACAGAAAGAAGCTCTTTCTTTTTCTTCTTAAGCTACATATAACCCAGGACAATTTAGCACTCTATCTTCGTAAACGGAAATGAAGCTTTTGTGAATATCCTCCCTACCTGATTGCCTAGAATTCATCAGCTATTGTGGATATATACGGTTATTTGCAAAAATTCAGTAAGAATCTGTCCTCTTGTTTCGAACCACAGCATTATTAGGAAAATTGGTTATGCAGCCAAGGCCTTCCCTGGAATGTCATCATCGACAGTGATGCCCATTTAATCAGACGGAACCAGTCCCTTTTAAGGAACCAAGGTGGACTCTGTGAAGCCGATACTAGTAAAACCCTCCCAAGAAAACTGGCTTACTGTTTTCTCTTCTAGGCAAATAAGGAAGGTCGCTTCCTGGCCAGCCCAAGGAGCTTAGGATGTTTGGGGGACCTCAAGAAGAGGTGAATTTGCCCAAATTTATAGGTAGAGCAGGTAAAACCTGATTTATAAGTGGGCATGCTCTTTGGAGTCTCTCTTTGTAAAATTATGGTAAAATACAGGGTCCAGCAGAAGTGAGACCTGCTTAAGTGTGGTTGGCAGGGTAATAACATGGGTGTAATAATTTATAGTTTTCATTTGAACATGTCACCTAAAGTGTCATGGTGTGCTTGAGTGTGATACTGCTATGTTACAGAATTACATGCTTATGATTTTATACTAAAAAGGGGTGTTATGTTGCCAGACCCTGCGTATGTAGCATAACATTTTCCATTTTCACCATTTTTAAGGAAACAGCACAGTGGCATTAGCTCCCTTCATGCTGCTACACAACCGTCTTCACCGCCCATCTCCAGGGGTCTTGTCACCTTCCCAGGCTGGCGCTCTGTCCCCACTAAACAGTGACCACCCCCACCCCCCACGTTTTCTTTTTCTACATTATAACACCTTCTGAGTCCCTCTTTATGAGTAAAATAAAATCTTTAACACATGCTCACTTTTATATCCTTATGAGAGTCAGGTTTTATCTGCTTCTGAAAAATGTATTTTAACAGCCCCAGACTCAGAAGGGACCACACGCGTCATGTACCCGTGTGAGGGAGGCAGGGAGGCACGAGGACTGTCACCAGCAGGAAGGCGCCCAGCATGACCAGCCAGCCCAGGACCACGGGCTTCCGAATGTGGGCTCTGCGGCTGTAAAACTAGGTGAAGTGGGCCATGCTCAGGGCACCTGCCCTATTCAACTCCTTAAATTATATTAATACAGTTTGGGGATTTAGGCCCAGTATTGCTCCACTTGTTTTTCAAGAGAAGCCAGGAACCTGGCTATTTATGTTAAATTTCATAATTTGTAAACGATGAAAAAAATTTGTAAGCTAACACAATACTCAGAAAAACCTAAAACACTGCAGACCCAGCAAAACCCCCAGTGTCGATCCCTGAAGACTGAGCTGCAGGCTCTGCACCCCCTCACCCCAACAGATGTGGTCTCCTCCGCCTCCCCTGGTCAGGGGGAACCTACTGTGGAAGTGGCTGGCCAACTGCATTGTGGGGGTGACCACCCAGCTGAGGGGCAGCTCCTGCTCTGGTCTGAAAGGTAAGCCCTCCCTGGTAAGTCTCTCAGGGCCTGGAGGCCCTCAAAGCAAGCGCCCAGGACCGCTGAGCTCTGGCCTTTGTGTTATCCAAGGGCGAGAAGACCACAGGAGACACTCCGCGACTCCAAAGGTCTCTTTGCAGCAATTCCACCACCCTGGCCTCGGCTCCCAGGCCCACAGTCTGGGTTTGCCCAGATGCTCAATAATATGGAAGTGAGGAGGTCTGAAGGTCCGCCCTGGGGTGGGGTGTGTGTGTGTGTGTGTGTGTGTGTGTGTGTGTGTGTGTGCGCGCGCCAGCCATTCATTTTCACCCTCCTGCCACCCCTGCTGAAGAAGCCCAGGCTCAGGAGCTGCGAGACGGCCCGCCGCCCGGTCCCTGGTGCCCCTGCTCCCTGCCCGTGCAAGGGAAGTTCCCCGGAGCGGCGCACCTCCCTCCCCAGCACTGCTCACCAGCTGTCTCTGGAGAAGGTGCGGAGCAGCCAGATGCCCGGAGCCAAGGAGGACCGCATTTTGCCTGCTGGCACCCGAGGGAGGCGGCGAGGCGGACAGAGAAGGGCACAGGACGGTGCGTCCCAGTCGGCAGCAGCTGGGTTTAAATGCCGCGCCAGCGGGCCCGCCCCGGCCTCGCTGCCTCCGGCCCGCAGCCCCCGCCCCCTGGCGCCTGACCGCCCTGGAGTCCTGGCCAAGCGCAAACCGACTGCCCACCCTCCAGAGGATGCGCCAACCCGGGATTTTCTCCTGCTTTGCCTCGGGCTGGGGACGCGCAACGCACGGAACTTCTGGGGCCACTCCCGCCTGAGTTCCTCGCTCAACGCCTCACAGGGAACCGAAAGCCACAGCCTAGCCATCTGAGCTCTACGTGACACCCTGTCTGTCGTAGCTGTTCTTGCAGCGCCTCCGGGTCCCCAGAAGCGGTGGCCCAACAGAGAGGGGCAACAGGCAGGCTGGAGGGCTGGAGCTGACACCCGGGACCCTCATTACACCGCTGAGTGTGGGCGCCCCTTGGAAAGCAGGGGGTATCTCAGGGAGTTACAATACGGGGCCCAAAATACACCTCCGGGGCAGCACAGAAGCTTCCCGTTCCTCCGACTCCACACCCACCACGCCCCTCACAGAGACTGGCCTCCGCGTCCTCCCAGTGACAGTGCAGCGACAGCACCGCAACCAGTGTCTCCCTCCAGAGGCAGCAGCCACGACGTGGCCAGCGAAGGCCAGTCTGGGGCACAGAATTCTCTGCTCTCAACAGCGCCCTTCCAGCTCTAGCCTGAAACCTCCCACGTATTTCCACCTATATAACGAAGGCACCATGAGATCTTTGAATAGGAACCTAAGGGCGATCTACAGAGGGGCAGAGAGGGAAGCGTTCGCCCCGAGAATAAAATTGCTAACAGAACATAAAACAGCACTGTGTTTGCGCAAACCGCTGTCAGCCCTGACCCCACCTTGCCCCTAATTTCTGGGAGTGCCCGGGCCCTCGGTTGCTCTGAATATGGAGCAACATTTCCACCAAACCGGTTAGGATCAGGAATAATGAGCTTGGCTGCTACCAGCAAAGAGAGGGTAGTGCTCCTGGAAAACCCTCCGGGAACGCCAGGCAGCCAGTGGCAGGCTGTCAGGGCGGAAGGAAAGACAGCAGCAAGCAGAGGCCAGAAGGCAGCAGGATACAGGGGAGAGGAGAAAGGGGGTAAGGAGCCCGTCACGGATGATGTGAAGTACAGAGAGGTGCGTGCCCAAGGGAGAGCGCAGGTCTCCTGCTCCTTACCACACCTGCAGCAGAGAACAGTGGTACCTGCAGGAGGTGTGGAAAGGGACTGGCTCAGAAACTAAAGGGAAAGATCCTCCGTTCTTACTGTGAACAGACCTATAATTTTCCAGAAATGCTTCCTATGGTTTCAGAGGATCAAACCCCTGTGAGACGGAGCTGGCGGTGCACGGTCCTGTTGTCCCCGAAATACCAGTTTCTACCACTGGCGACTTTCACTGACCGTCCACAGGAGCTTTGGGCAGCCAGCTGTCTGCTCAGGCTTTTCAGACAAGGCAACGAGCGTCTTCCCTTTGATTTTTCAGTCACGCAGGGGCCTGCCTGCCTGAGAAAGCCCGTGAGAGTAAGTGCCATGAGAATGAGCAGCTGGGCGCCAGAAGCCCAAAATGTCACCACACATACACAAGTGTCATCTTCAAACATGCCGGCTTCCTCCCCTGCGCTCTTCCTAAATGCGGTGGAATCAAGACCCAGACCCTTGAGGGAGGAGTTAGGATACTAGGAGAAAGAGAGATGATTCAACCTTTTCAAGGCTCAGTGTCACATTAGGCTTTTTCTTTTCTTTATTTTGTTTTCTTTATTTATATTTAGAGAGAGGGGAAGAGGAGAAAGAGGGAGAGAAACATCAACGCGTGGTTGCTTCTCACACGCCCCCTACTGGGGACCTGGCCTGCAACCCAGGCATGTGCTCTGACTGGGAATCGAGCCTGCAACCCTTTGGTTCGCAGGCCAGTACACAATCCACTGAGCCACACCAGCCAGGAAACATTAGGCTTTTTTAGAGTGGTATAGTGACAAGAACATGGGCTTTGAGCGGGGCCAGTCCTGGCGCAGACACGCCTACCTCTCCGCACCTCAGTTTCCCTGTCTGCCAGGTGTGGGAGATGACAGCCGCCTTGCAGAACAACTGTGAGAATTAAACTCAATGCCTAAAAAGTGCGGGGCCACATCAAGTGGGTTCAGTAACTGGAGCAATCACGATGCACGTGTGAGCTTATTACTAGGATCGGAGAGTGGAGACCGCTGACAGCAACTCGTGACATTTAGAAGTGGGAACAGACTGCATAGGTCAGAATCGAGTTCTTACGGTGCCCGTGGGTACAACAGAATAGGTCTTGCCACCAAATCTTTAATGTCCATGCACACACCTGTGTACATGTGTGAGTGTCATGTATGTGGGTATGTGTGTATGTTTGTGTACCCACAACCTCACTCACGGAGTTACTGTCAGCATCAAGATAACACACACTGAACAGTTTTGAGCCAACAGGGATGAGAGTGTGGGCTAGCGTCATAAAAATGAACAAAGCTATTATATCTCAAATATGTCAGATGTTGTGTTACTAAGGAGGGTGGCTATTGCATTTCTTTCAGCTAATGCAGTAAAAAGATAGATAAGCAAGGTGATCATGTCTCCAAAAAGATTTTGTTTCTCAATAAAAGACAATACTCTAGAAGGGTTTGGCAAAGAGAGTCCTTGCCTTGACATCACTGGTCACGATAGGGGCTGCTGTCTATTCAAGACTGGGCTGGTCATGGATCACGTGGCCTGTGAGTGGGCTTTGGGGACCACTATGAGCCAAGCATGAGGGCAGCCCCACTCTCAACCAGTGGTGCCTGCAGGTGTATATGCAGAAAACCAGGAAGCAGGCAATCCCAGAAAGTGAAGGGCATGTTCAGCCAGTGGTTAAATTATTACAGTCTCCCAAGGTTGCTTTGTTCAGGGGGGAAATTAAAAGGAATGCATGGCAACGCCCAAAGGGAGGCAGCTTCAGGTGGCCCAGTCACGCAAGATGAAGACAGCTTTTGGTTGCTCCTCTGTCTGAAAGTAACAATTCATTTACTCGTTTAACAAACCCTCGCGTAGTGCCAACTCAGTGCCAGGCACAGTACTGTGTGCTGAGGGCACACTGATGAATGACAGATACAGCCCGAAACTCAACAAATTTACAATTGAACAAGACAGAGCTACTTAGAGACGCAATTCCACCTCGAAGAGCTCTGGCAGAACAAGAAATTACTTGCAGAGCTATGTCCACACTGCTGTGGTCACTTTGGTGTATGGGAGGATGCTTTGGTGTGTGGGAGGATGCTCCAACTTGTCACCTGAGTCATCTGGCCAAGGTGACAAGGTTTTTAAGGAGGGCTGAGACATGATCAGATCTATGGGGGGGTTGCGTTTTCTTTTTTCAATATATTTTATTGATTATGCCATTACAGTTGCCACATTTCCCCCCTTTATTCCCCTCCACCCTGCACACCCCCTCCTCCTACATTCCCTCCTTTAGTTCATGTCCATGTATCATAAGTTCTTTAGCTTCTACATTTCCCACACTACTCTTGCCCTCCCCCTGTCTATTTTCTCCCCACCATCTATGCTACTTATTCTCTATGCCTTCTCCCCCCTTCTCCTCCTCACACTCCCCTGTTACTAACCCTCCATGTGATCTCCATTTCTGTGGCTCTGCTCCTGATAGAGCTGTGCACTTAGTTTGCTTTTGTTTTAGGTGTGGTTGTTAATAACTGTGACATTGCTGTCCTTTCACTGCTCATATTTTTTATCTTCTTTTTCTTAGATAAGTCCCTTTAACGTTTCATATAATAAGGGCTTGGTGATGATGAACTCCTTGAACTTGACCTTATCTAAGAAGCAATTTAACTGCCCTTCTATCCTAAATGAAAGCTTTGCTGGAAAGAGCAATCTTGGATGTAGGTCTTTGGATTTCATGACTTGGAATACTTCTTTCCAGCCTCTTCTTGCCTGTAAGGTCTCTTGAAAAATCAGCTGACAGTGTGATGGGAACTCCTTTGTAGGTGACTGTCCACTTATCTCTTGCTGCTTCTAGAATTCTCTCCATTTTAATCTTGGGTAATGTAACTATGATGTGCCTTGGTGTGTTCCTTCTTGGGTCCAACTTCTTTGGGACTCTCTGAGCTCCCTGGACTTCCTGGCAGTCTATTTCCTTTACCAGATTGGGAAGTTCTCCTTTATTATTCAAATAAGTTTTCCACTTGTTGCTCTTCCTCTTCCCCTTCTGGTACCCCTATAATTCGGATGTTGGAACGTTTAAAGATGTTCTGGAGTCTCCTAAGCCTCTCCTCATTTTTTTGAATTCTTGTTTTTTCATTCTTTTCTGTTTGGTTGTTTCTTTCTTCCTTCTGGTCCACTCCATTGATTTGAGTCTGTTTTCTTCCCATCACTATTGGTTCCCTGTGCATTTGGCTTCAATTCACTTAGTGTAGCCTTCTTTTTTTCATGTAATTTGTGACTAAAACCAACCAGCTCTATGAGCATCCTGATCACCAGTATTTTGAACTGTGCATCTGATAGGTTGGCTATCTCTTGGTCACTTAGAAGTATTGGCTCTGGGGCTTTGATTTGTTTTTCTGCTTGAGCCATAATGTTTTGGTCAGATCTCACCTGTTAACAATGAGGGGCGGAGCCTTAGGTGTTCTCCTGAGCAGGTTAACCCAGTGGCTGGGTTGTGACTGGGGGCGGGGTCAGAGAGGGAGCAATGGCATTTGTTCTGCTCTCTCTCAGATTTCAGTCCCCTGTGCTGCTTCCCACAAGAAAATTGGGCCCTTCTGGTGCTGGTTCCCATGTGGGTGGGCTTGTGTATGTTCTAGGACCCTGTGGATCTCTCCAATGACCTCTCCTGTGAGGCTGGGAGCCACTCCCAGCACCTCAACCCTTGCAAGCTTTTTCAATTGGTGTTTTTAGGCTTTATTTCCTGGTGCTGGGGCCCTGGGTTGCGTGTTTTGTCTCACTGCCCATTTTTTTGCCTGGTTTATCTACATGCTAATGTGTGGCCACAGTCAGCCAACTGCCTTGTGTGCCTCACTGGGTTTGCTTGTTTCCTCCCCCCAACCTGTGTCTGCCAACCACTGCCTCTTCCTTACTAAGACCCCTCTCTGCTGGATGCCGACTCCGCCCCTCTTACCGGTCTGGATGAATGGTTCATTGTTGTCGGGCTTCTGTACAGTTCAATTTTCTGTCCGTTCTGATTGCGTTTTTGTTTCTAAATCTTTGTTG